GTAAGTTCAGTAAATCGGACCGGGCTTAACCCCACTATAAGAAGCAACGACGGAATCAATGCTCCGCGAATAATTAGTTGTCATCATATTTTGAACTTGCTAATAACGGTAGACAATGACGTTTCTTACTTAAATATCCTCGAGATTCTGGCGGTACTTTCAACATTGACACTCGCTGGGCTTCCTCCAACCGACCATCCTCCCGAGAAGCTGATCCTATTTCTGGATGTGCAATTCGCGGTTTCGTTAGCAGTCCGGAGTCAAGCTTACTGTTGCGCAAGGAGCCTGTTCCATAAAACTGATAATGTTTGTGCTGGTACACACGACAATTCGGCAACTTTTTATCAGAAAATTTTATCGCATGAGTTCGTTGTACGGCACCCGCATTACAGTTCACAGCACCGTACATGTGTTCGGTGCACATCTACCTTCTCAGTATTTCCGAACCGCTCCATCGCGTATAAACACAATGGAATCGCTAGCATGTCTAAAAATCTATTTTTCGCCCTAGTATATCAAAAGTTGTCTGAAAGCATCTTCGGAAACCTAACTCACTTTATCACAAGTATAAGTCGAAGCAGTAGTTATTACTCAGTCACTTTATATAGAGTCATACGCTTCTGATTTATCAACTTTGTTCAAAAGCTTGCGCTTCACCCAAGTCATGGACAAGTTATTGTTCACAAGATACGGCATTGAATACCGTTATATCATGGATTGGAGTAGCAACATTGAACACATCGACCTTTTCTACAGTGGTTGCCCGAAGGCCCAGTGTCTATGATAGGATTGCGCGGTAGGCATGCTGCGCCGGTTAAGATTCTTTTGCAATGTCTTGTGCAAAGGTTGAAAATCGCTGGCGCTGTATCTGACGGAATGCCTAAACAAAACAAGTTGCCAATGCAATAGCTAAAGGCAATCTATAGAATCTGGGTATCCCAATTTCTCGCCGAATAATTGGGCCTGTATTAAAACATTGCCTGGTCTGCGATTCCTACATTATTTTATTAATCCGGTAACATATTATTTGAAACAAAACAGCAAGCGTTGCGGTTTCTAATATGATGTTGAGATTATGCATATTCGACAATCTGGCATCATTAACAACCGTTGGGACGAATTAATCGGAAATGCATGACTTTCCGTAATTGCCACTCTCGCCAACAAAAATGTCAAGTTTAGCGTTGAAATGAATATGCGCGCCTCACTGCGGGCTTGTTTCCCCTACTGGGTCAATCATCTCTTCTATAGTTGACCGTCAGTTTTAAAATATCCTGAATAACTAACGTGTAATGCGTGTTAGTCATACCTTATGATAATTACACTCTGTCACTTATCTTAAATAGCTGTCGATTTGCACACACTTCCAAGGTGTTTTATATTGCAGCCTCTTTACGAGCTCACATGCTTTATACTTCGCTATTTTCTAGTTTGCAAATACGTGATCGTTGTTTTTGCACCCATATACATAATTATTTTTTGACGTTTAGCAATCATTTTACCAATCATATCAAGCATTCCAAATATATAACCTTATAATGTCATGTCAGCTCAGTCATAACACGAAGACTATGTTAAACAAACATATTTTTATAATACAAACACATTTAATATAATAATCAATATAGGCGCACAAATATATTGCAAGGCCCCTACCTCGGATGCTTCGACATTTGAGTCCTGAAACATTGAACCGTTTATTATACGGATGTACTTGCAATGATTAAAAATAAAGATTACAATTAAGTTTCAAAAGTATCATTTAAGACACTATGTGCCGTTTACATTTTAAATGCATTTTAAATGGATTGGATCTCCGACCGCTTTAAAATTAAAAACATTGCTTGATAAACATTCAGTTCAAGAGCAAGAACATCTTGATCGTTTAAAAGTGACTTTATAGAGAGTTTCAAATCCTCTGCATGCTATCGAGCACGTCGAGGAGCTAAAACGTGGTACTGCGCCTCACTCTCCTTATTAAGTCGTTAAAAAACACTCTCTGTACTAAATCTTTCCTACAAAAAAATGTAGTACAAATTCTGAACGTAAAATATTAAGTATATCCAGGACAAGCGAGATAATCACGTTATGAAAATTATGCGTCCCTGACTGAAGATGAAGAAGTGCTGCATTGTGTCTGTTCTGAATACCCATGAAACGGACCTAATAATAACTGAGTGGAAAAAATGAGCGGAGAGAACTCTGTTATGAAGAAAAAGTCATTAACAGGTCCAGGAAATCCCAAAGCAATTTTATTTAATCATACTATTTGTCCACAAAAAGGTCTAAAGGTAGAATAAGCCGTCTTCCAGCTGAGCCGATAAGCTCGTTCCCACTCGGCCTATTTTCCGGACTTGGCTTCTTCAGGGTACCACCTATTTACAACGATAAAAAATCGTTGGCCAAAAAACCCTTTTTTGTAATTTTGGAAACTCACAAAATGGGTCTCCGATTATTTGGACACTAAGACTTAAGAGTTCTACCATAAAGGAGTCTTCGCAATGCTTACAAATTTCCAAAAGACTTCAAATCCTAATGGCAATCACTTTGGTGAAAAGGCTTCTAATACTATTGATTGAATGAAAAAATTGAGGTAGATCAATGATCAAAAAGCCGAAAATGCTTTTGTAGACCGAAAACAAATAAGCCTCATAATATCTTTAAAAAACATCACCTGGAGAGGTGATGTTTATAGCTCTAACGTAGTGTCATCTTAACCTGATTTTAATTCGTATATAACGAGTTGGGTGCATTCGGCATCGATGTTCAAGGACGTAGATTTTAGAAATTTATATTATTAAACAGCTTGACTTTGACCTTTAGCCCTTTTTTTATTTTTCCTACAACTATCTAATTGTTCTTATATATGACGATTGTACTAAAAGAAAATACTGATTTCATAAATCGTTTATACATTGGATTCATGAAACGTGTATACCGAGAAGGTAATACTAAATGGGAGCAAATAGAACTAAAACATACATCGAGGATTTACGATGAAACAGATTTCTAAATGCTAGGAAGAATGTTTTGCACCACTGGAGTTTGCAGGAATGAATAGGATGAATAGCACATTTCTTTGAAGAGTCGTCGGACAGCTTTGGGTAAAATCAAATCTCGGACTGTGTATACATACCTCTTAACCTGATTTATACCACAAGTGTTATTATTTATTAGTTCTTTAGAGCACTCAAATAAGGATATGAAACTAATCACACGAATCCAAAACTGTAATAAGGAATAGTTATGCCTTGTACCATTGCACTAGCTATGGACAAAATGTGACATGAGTGCTAGGGGCCCCTTCGTTAATAGGAGTGGCACAAATCTTTTAAAATTCTTCCTGTAATGAAATACGTGAAATTACTTAAAACATTGATTGATGAAATGTAATGAAAAATAAAAGAAATCTTGGCTTAACTGAAAACGTATTTGATTGACAAATCTGTTCTAGTCTGTTTCTAGTTTTTATATCACGTTTCCGAAAAGTTTAAGCGTTTAATGGAGAGCACGACTTTTAGACTTGAATACATACGTGAACTATTTCGGTTTATTGAAAAATAACAAATCATAAAAAGGAATGAAGAACAGACCGCTCGATAATAACATAATAAATATATAACTATATTTGGCCAGTTACAGAAAGAAACGCGTGAGCACAATAGAGTACATTCCGATCTTAGCTAACATGAGGTAACAAAATTATTACTGGCCTCTTACAAGTGAATTCAATGGACTTCGAACTTTAGTAATTTTGAGCTAACTGGGCTGGAATTTTTTGAAGTATATATTAAAGGCACTCTCTTTCATTTCTTACACATTTGTTTCATTTTTTACACTCGGAAGTTAGAAATGCTTGCTCATCATTCGCCTCTTTTAGGGCACGAAAAACCTCGTAATCACATGAATGCAGATCGGGAGAATGAGCAGACTAAAGACGATATTCGATATTTTGTTACTTAATCTAGGAAATAACTAAGGCATAGCGATGAGGTCCGGCATTGTGATTAAGTTGCCAGCCCGCCTGCTTTCGATCACCGCATTAATAGCAAATGAGTCTCTTCAGGAACTCGAGATACTGGATTGCATTCATTGCTTCATTATCAACGAATATCTTATAAGAGCTGGTAGCGCTGATGCCCGCGGCAACTACTCCCATCTTTTACGTTCGAGCCTACTTGATATTTTTACCGAGCTTATTTTTCCTCCAGCGCGGCGTTTTACGTTCGCCTATTCCCTCTCCAACTAGCGGTATAAACTGAACCATCCAGGCAGATTTTTCGTTGATTAAGGTCGCAAAATTGCACATGGAATACATCAGTCGCATTGCCAATCTATTTTTATCTAGTTTCCGCATCTTCAGTACTTCAATTATAATCCTGTGACATGTCACCCGTGAAACGCCAGTTTTAGATGATAGCGCCCTTAGACTCCTAGCTCTCCTTTCTTGTAAGGCCTTTTTGGTTGTAGCAATGCGTTTTTACCCTCCGAGTCCTGACATCTGGCCAGCTCTTCGCTGGCCTTTAGTTTTTTTTATTAAAACGTTCGCCCCATACACATTTTGTGCTTTCGCTTAAGGCCTCTATGTATAATGTTTTCACCAACCTTTGACGAATTTTCACAGCGCTGTGGTCTTTGAAAAGGGAAAACTTGACCACCGGGGATTAATATTCTGGACTAAGTATGTTTTTCTTTCCGATCATATTTTCCCTGGAGTAAACTCAATCATTTCACTTACGGTTTGCAACAACTTTAGCGTATTTAGTAGCTAATTTTCGCCTGCTAGCGGCGCGTAACTTAAAGATTCAATTCCAAAGCCGGCCGGATCTACTAGTCACACAGAGGGTACGTATGTACATCCTTTAACACAATTATTTATATTAAAAGACGTGAATCATGAAAGCAACCCTACTATTCGCCATCCAAATGTGCATGACAGTATCACGTGATAAAAAGTCTGGTTAAGGAAGACTCGGCTGGTAAGTATAAAGATACATTGAATTTATTATATATGTTTTCAAAATTGTACATATCTACAAAGGTTGTTAGCTATTTTCAAGACTAAGGGATTAGAACTACTTATGTGCAATATAAAAAAGTGGTCCTCTTTTTAAATGTGCTTTTAATTGGGAGTCAAGGGAGACAAACCAATTACTTCAGATATATTACGATACGACCAGTTGCAGCGCTGTAACGACTTATCCATAGCTACAAATTTACCGGAAGTAATATCGATCTTTATCAAAGGCACCGTATGTCCGGCGGCTTGATCTTCTGTCACTTTTCATAAATACATTGCAGTTTAGTTCTAGCCGCTCACAGTTTAAGCACGATGCATTCAAAGCACATCTGTTGTTAATATTCGGTATAACCCGACCCTCTGAAGTAACTGACTCAGATCAGCTGGAGGCATCCGTATCCTCTATAGCTTCTTCGTAATTGGACTCCCTTTTTTGCTTGACAGTACCTTTGTCAAGTTCCTGATGAAATCCCTCCCGTCTAATCATGTAGTTGATATGACTTAGTATCAGCGCATGCCTGTGCCAAACAGCGATCAAAGATGTTATCATAGTAAATTATCATTACAGATTTCAGTTATAACCTCTTGTAGATCACCTACAAAAAAAAGCAAATTTCGTATTTTTTTATACATATTCTACGTATACGAACCTTTTCGCTTGAGCAGATGTAATTTTCGACATTAGTTTTTCCTCCTGTTCCTGGAATCGTTCATCGCGTCCTTTCCGACCTGCAAAAAGAAGAATTATAATGTGTCTTAATATGAATGGATATTATTCTTTAAATTTACTTTTGTATTGGAAAAAAATTACACCGACTTCCATTTTACTATTTAGAAAAGGTATAAATCCATAAAATGGCTTGCTTAAGAAAATATGATTTAGGAACGTGTATGCGTTTGATGGGTGAAGGCCGAAGAGGAAAGGCTTCAGAAAGATGAATTAACATTTTTTATGCGTTCTTGTTTCAACTTATGAATTACTTAGAAGTGCGAAAACGAATGTACGTATTTTCGTATTTGCAAGAAGACTGCAGTAATAGTAGCAGTACTGACGATCCTTTTCCCATGGTGATTTAGTAGTAACATATTTACTTGCCAGACTGCAAATCAGGTGAGGTGGTCTAAGCTAAGCCGTTTGAAGGTTGCTTAACGGCACTGTGTGACGTAAAACTATAATGATTCCTCTGGTACTGCAGGCACCAATTTTCTTCGCAGATAATATAAGGTGAACAGTATGAGACGCACGCGTTAATAGTAAAAGTAAGTATTTAAATAGATACTACTATTTAACTTTAGATTTCAAAGAAAAGTTCTCATTAAAAAAAATAAAGTTATCAAATTACCTTTAATTAGACAAATCTGCCAATTAAATACTGAAATAAATATTATGTTCTGCATTAATAGGAAGGAAGAGCTCTTAACTATCGCACTATTGACGGATATAAGTAAAACACGTCTACTTGAGATACCAAGGGAAGGTAGTCTTTGATACATGTTCTGCAACAGAAGGAATGTTGTTGTGATCAGATCTACAATCTATAAGAAAGCTCTCCGTACCGCTCTATGAAATATAGCTACTCCCCATATTTGTAAGGCTTTAGTAAACTGTAGAAGAGCTAAGTAATGAAAGTCTAACAAAGACTTTGTTTCTCCAAAGAAATTGAGGATTTTTGCGTTTGGAGTGAAACGAATTAAGCTGAGATTATTTAATATTTTTGTCAAAACTGCCACTCATCTGTAACATACTGCAGCTGGGAAATTTATATTTGACCGGCCAAGTCAAATTAATCATTTATGATTTAAACCATGCATTATTTAGAATGTAAGAAATGTAGAATAGAAATAGATACGAACCTCGACTACCTTCTGGGAGAAGAAAATTGAGATCCTCTTTTTTTCCATTTTCATTTTGGCCTTCCCTCTGTGTGTATTTATATGTATAAGTACATAAATTAGATTACACGAAAGACTTGATATTGCATTCTTTGTAGTAAAAAGAAACTGAAGTGTTCACAATTCGTATCTAAAGCATACCTAAAGATACATATGGTACAAATCCGGTTGTATTTTTAGCAGCATGTCTAGTCTTAATCATGATTTCCAAATTTAAAATTAATATTCGAAGAGAATAGGCGTTTGACTTTTGTAAACGTAAAAATTGAAAGCTAAAATTTATTAGTACAAATAGGGTCACTGTGAGATTCATGTAAGTTTTCTCTGTATATGTCATGTGTAGCATTAATTTTTTAAGTGCTGTTCGGTAAGAGAAGTTTAGTTTTAACACACACCTCGTTTGCGTTTGGCTCCTTCTTCGGAGTTTGTATCTTCGTCTTGGGCTGCTGCTGCGGCCGCTGCCGGAGAGTCCTTTCCCCCGGTTGTTCCGCGTCGCTTTTTCGACCCACCGCTACTCGATGCCACGACCCCTTCAAGGCATAGACAAAACATTAATAGACAGATCAGAAGATTAATCGAAGTAATACACAAAAAAAAAGCATTCTCTTGCATACACCGGTGTTGTGTACTACTCTGCGCGATCGTAAAAGTTCCGTGTAATTCGAGCCAAGTTCTATTTATTCCGTACTACTGAAATAAGAGAGTGAAATAGAAACTTTGCTCTAATTGAAAAGTATAACAGCAAAAACTAGCATTCCATGCAATCGAAAAATGCATATTAAGCGTATTAAGCCAAAGAATATTATGAAATCGGGTCTACATACCTTTAGGAGAACGAATTTTTGTATCAAGCGTTGCACTAGGCACAGTCGTTCCATACGTTTGAGTCTCCTTCCTCACACGTACGCCGCGTCTCCGCGCCCCCTCAGAGCCGCCTGTTGTTGCTGTCCGTGTAGTAATCTCAGTTACCTCTTCTGATGCACGTGATGACTTCCGTTTTTCGAAAAAACTAAATCCACATGGACAAAGTTTGGTCGCTGTCGCCACCTATAATATACATCCAGTTGTTACTATCTAAGCAATCGCCGGCACCGGGTGTGACCTGCCAGTTGACACGCCCGTTCACCTCTCAGCTTACAGTTAATCGTTCCGAGGTGTCTTGGAAAATGACATTTTGACTATTCAAATACGTTTGCTTGCCACCATGTAATACAAATAATGCTGCACGTACCTTACAGGTCTTCGGAAAAATTTTTTATATTTTCAAACAAGGAGCAGAAACGTTAGTTTTTAGATATGGGGTTTCCTAATGTGCTGTTTTATTGTCAGCTAAAGCATACTTGCAAATAGCGATCTACGTAGCGAACATATACTAATGGTAAAAAAAATTTAATTTTTCGACATTAAGACCAATCATGCTCTAACAGAATTTCCCTTTGTACTTAAATTTTTTGCACTTCTGATAAATGTTTGGCCGTAATTACAGGGTGGTGCGTCTAAATTGAGAATCTTACTCAGCTTTTGTTTCTAAAATTGTCTCTAAATAAAAACAGAAAATTCAATTATTTTTTTTTATACGTGATAGAAGTGTTATTATTGATGGTCCTGTTCTTTCAATATAAGCATTATTTACCGCGATTACAGCTCGGTTTCAGAACCTAATCTACTAATTAGTCCATCTCAAACTATTTATTCTTAAACAGCAAGTAAATTATTACTAGTCGTCGTGCGTCAAGCGATATTAGTAAATGTAAACTGGCTAAAGTGTCGCTTAGATATATTACATACGAAAAATTAACTTCAATACAACGGAATCGAATTTTGGGCCAATTGCAGACCAAACGTCCCAATATAAAAGGGCTAAGAATAGTCAAAAAGCTTAAAAGGTAGTAAAAAGCACAAAAAAAGATTGATCATTGGAATTTGTTCCGATGATTAAATTGGCGATTATATTCTTTTCTTTAACACGGCCGTTGGTTTGTGAGTCAAAGACCTAGAAATATCCAAAATAGCTTTCTAAGCCACTTTGATGAATTTTTAAACGTCTTAAATCTAAATTTTTTTTTAAGGACCTCCACTCTTCTTATGAAAGTTTTTCTTAAGCTTTTCAGAAATCGTCTGAAAACTGGCACTAGTCCTGACGTATTTTCGGAAATAAAGAAAATCTTTATCTCATTAGGGGACTCGTCTGTCGCGGGAATATTAGATAATCACTGACCTTCGCAAATTCCGAAAACAACGCACTGCTTTTCGCCATGACAAGTTTATCTATTCGCTTAGCAGATAAATCCATGCCCGTTACGAGAACTACCTTGCCTAAATTTTTCCCAATCTGAACGCAACGGCCTGTATATATAAAGCTTTATATATATATATATAAAGCCGTAGAGCTTTTACATAGCATTCTTCAGCCTTTAGCACGTTTAAGGAAAAAATAATACATATTAAAATGTCAAGCGATGCTGTTCGGCCAGACTCACGAGTATTACTGTCAGCTTATGGCAATACAACTATGCCTAGAGAAAACCACATCCCTTGATGTGCTTCACGCGCCACTAGTTTGACAGTATTTTATGGCAATAAAAGAGACGCTGAAACCCACAAAAAGCTTCTACAAGAACCTAAAAAACCGTTGTTATGCTCTAAAAGCGAGGAAACGCATTCCAACAATGCAAGTTGAAGACTAAATGCGTATTAGATAAATTCAAATAGTTACCCTGCATTCTTGACTTGTACTTCCTGCCACTTATAATATATATATATATATATATATATATATATATACACGTTGTGCCACAAGTAGGTTTTAGAGACAAATAGCTCCATACCAGAATAACATTATACTGATACACTACTGGAAGGCGCTCGCAAGCTAAATTGTTAGCTTAAACTACTTACGGAAATTATAATACTATAATAAGCAAAATAAACTACATTACTTATGTGAGTTAAGTTTTTCGGCCTTATCCCTTAATTTTTGTATCTACACCTCGAGGTAATTTAACTCTTTCCTGATTTCGACTGCTCGTATGTATTCTGCCACTATAATCGAACTAATTAGATTACAAAGCTTATTTGGAGGGTATAGCTTGATAACGCATTTTGTAATGAATGTACAAATACACTCTCCCTCCGCAAATATGTAGAAATGTATCCTATTCTTACCTCATTTTCGCACTGAGGACACTTTTTAATCATGGTTTTATTTTTGGCCATTGGGTTTGTACTCTCTAGTCGTGTACCACCTAGTGAACAGATCAAACAGACATTTTATAATTAACGTTTAGTATTGGTATAAGTTGTCCTGGCGTTCTATAATAAAAGAAAGTTACTCCACGCGGTTCTGATTAATCGAGTAGTATATTTATGTTCTTTACCAATGCACAAAAATATTACAAAATGAATAACCTATTATTGTTAAGAATAAAGCCTTTCACTATGCATACTCCTGAAATGACATATATGCATACGTTTATCTACTGTACGTAAATTTAACAGTTGTTAACTTGTATATTGCAAAATTTGGGTAACATCTGTATGGCGTGTATACAAAGGAGAGCAGAAATATCTAAAACAATCTCGACATTTATTTACCATTTACAACTTCGACATGCTAAAAAGGTTGCTTAATTACTCGTCTTGGTATCGATGTTCACTGTTTTAATGTTTAAGCTTGCACAGTTTGGTCTCTAAAATGATTACAATTCCACTATACGCAACTAGCAATCTTGTGAAATATTTATTGTCGGGTAGGTAAGTGTATTGAGCGCCGGTCTATGAATCTCAGGAAACAAATTTGGGCAGCAGTTCTTACGTTCGCTAAATTATGTATGTTGTCAAATTCAAATGCATTTAATTAAGGGTCTCCAGCGCTTTTCTCCACACTCAAAATGCCACACTTCGGCTGCTAGTAGCTAAGTTCTAATACAACCGTCATAAACGAAACTTTTCGATTAAGCGACATAACTGCCCATAACAGCAGTTGGTTGTTCTATGCTTTAGAAGATGAGCTTCCAAACGTTCTATTCAAGTACCTGGTGAGGCGAATTATTTTTTTAAAGACATTGTTTTATTAGTGGAATCACAGTAATTGCATTAGGAGATACAAAACACCTTTATATATATTTTAATAGCAAGCCTTATACAACTAAGTCCTTTATTTTAAGGAGTAAGCAGTCGAGAGAATTATCATTAATGGAAATGATATTCTGTAAATAATTCTGCATTACTCTGCCTCATGCTACAGGGCAAATTTTATTGCGGAATACGTCATTTGGACACGCGTGAGGGAACATGTACCAAAATAGCACCTTAATGCGGGCTGCGATGGGAGTTATATGAATGATGAGCACAAATGATGAATTGTTAATTGCGGGAAGCTTCTACCACGATCTCACATATCTGCACAATTAATTGGGATAACGAGAGAGAATTTAAGGATTTGAGTAATTTGCTTTACTTCAACTCAAAAGTTCAATTCGAACAATCTGTTTGTATACACACAGAGTTCACGTCGTGCGGTAGCTCGAATTAAATTCCAATATATTTAATCAAATTTATTGCTCTCAAAGGGTGTTATATAGCGTTCAAACATTTTTAGGGATTGCTCAAAGCTACTAGAAGTAAACCTTCGGCTGCGCCTTCGCCAGGTGATAATAAGACTCTTATGCCGGTGATGTAAAGTTGGTTCGATTCGAAGCACTGCCGCGTCTAGAGCTGCCGCTGCAGATACAACAAGATGGCATCGATCGACGAGCAACTCCGCAAACGCGGATGGTAAGAAATATGCTTTTTTCTAATGTTTCTTTGTCACTAACATCTTGCTTAGTATCATTGAGGACGTATCAAAGTCTTTCGTGATGAATCTAAGTGTTGAAACAATAAGAAACGTTAAGGAATTCAACATACCGGCACGGCCAATCAGGAATATTGACAATTTGAGTTTGAGTCGATGGTCGCTCTGTATTCTTGCAGCTTGACTCACTTTGGAACAGAAAGAATGGATAAGCTGCTTATTTTTTACCGTACAATGAACATTCAATTACAATTAGAATGAGATTTAATTTTTTGTTCGGAAGGTTTACTGTGGACAGACGTATGCCGTAAAGGTACCGGTGAATATGATATTTCGGCCTATAAAAAAATTTTATTAAGAATTTTTTCTTTGTAGCATATTCTTAGAGAAATTCTGGGCCACCAATAGTTCATAGAGCATTTGTAAAATCAGCGAAGTTGAAAACGTGTTGTTTGCTAACTCTTTATTCTTTGTTACAAAGATTGTGAAAGATTCTGTGGTCGAAAGGTTTGTACTTGAAACCATAAATACGTTGTTTTTTTAAGATATGAAAACGCCAATAGCACGTAAACACGCCCGTACAATCGGACGAACAAAGAGCATTGATGTATTTGCCTCGCATGCGCCAAAACTGATATGGAGTAATATATAGCACGATAATGACATCGGATGGTATAATGAGACTCAGTTTTAACATACGTATTTCTTTATAACTTACTTAAAACTTACTAGTTCCGGGTGGATAATTAAAAAATACAAACGCTATTGTGAATTACAAAAATAGGGCAGCGTTATTGAATTGGATTAAAACACGCAAGTTTTTCAATTTCTTCGTGCAGCCTGTTTATTTTCAAATAGTAGAGCCGCGTGAGTGAAAACAGCAATGTCATTGATATATACTTATGTAGTGCATACTGAACACAGGCGCAAGATAGTTTCCTTTTATTATATTTGAACGTACTCACAGAGTTGCTAGTAACTGAATTGCCGTCACAACGTCAGCTTGGCGATCTGATAGCAATGTGGTTTTCACTGTTTTGTCCTGTAAGAAGTAGGCATTTGATAGCAGAAAATTTTTACTTAAAAGAAATTGATATAATTTGGTGATAATACTTTGCCCTCTTGTAATGGACATTTTATGGAATACAGAAACTATTAGCATATTTACTGAGCTTTATCATTGATATAGCGGTAACTCTTTAGTGTTTCTTCGAACAGGTAGGCATATTCTATTTTTAAAAAAAATGAATAGGTAAACTTCTTAAACTTACTCTCATCAGCATTATAGCGGATTACAGCAGTTTCAGTTTCGCTTTAATCAAGGCGAAAAGCGTGAAACCGATAACCAAGTTCAACCCATGTGCAATGGAACATGTTTATGGGTTGCACGTTTTGAGTTTGTGACTGTAGCACAAATAAGCCCTAATTAATAATTTTCCTGTTATAGGTATATGTATGTAAACATATATCAATAATGACTTAAATAAATATAAATTGTTCAAAAATATAATTTACAGGTTTCTTCTGAAAGAAGCGATTGCAGATTTGACTGATGGCGTAGAAAACTGCTCGGCAGACGACGTCATCCGCAGAGCTCTTCACGTAAGTCAGCAGTATATTGAGGGCTTCATATACGTTAATGGATATAATAATTTCATAGTTAATTGATACTTTCATTAATAATTAGTTATAATAATTAGTATATAATTAGTTAATAATGCTCTCATTAATGCACTATTTTTTTAACAGTGATGAGGTAAATGGTTTCATTTATTTGACTTGTAGACGGATTTGTGTGAGATGGGTTCTGGATGCATCCCGGAAGATTTGGCTCGTAATTTCCGCAACGTGGAAAAAGTGTCCGGTCCAGCGGTCTGGCAAATACAACGCATTCGCAACACAGCAGCGCCAAAAGCTGATCCTGACAACGATCATGGGAATAAATTCTTGAGGTAACTGTAGCCAACATGTGATCCATTTGGTAGAATCCGTGAAAACATATCCCCTTTAGGCGCGATTATATGAGTATCTTGTTTGTAATGGCGCCTGAGAACTATAACACATCTATACAATATTGTCGCCTGCTTCCCAAAAAACTTTCGTCCCGAGTCCATGGATCCTTCATTAAGGCTTCGTACTCTCCAGCGATAGGTAAGGGCAAGAAGTAGATGAGACAGTAGATGAGGTTTATAAAACTTGAAAAATCTTGCTTTAAGACGATTCTGGTTACTTAGTTTTCTACCACAAAGGGCAATTCTTGAAGTTCGAACATAATCAAGATCGAAACGAATACAGCTGCCACATTTTGCTCGCTTATGCAGCCGAACTGCCTTTCTACATCTGTCGGAAACGTGCGCAGTGAAACTTCTGCCATTGACAGAAATAAGTGACCCTAAGTACGGGAACCGGTTAACATAAGCAAGAGGTAACCCGATGAGGCACAAGGTGTTAGCGGCCATTGTCCTGCTTCCTCTTCTGAACTTCGTCGTCTTCGTCTTGCACAGGTTTACTACCAATTTTAGTTGCTCCATGGAGCTGAGCTAGAATTTGCTGCATCTGGAACCTGTTCAATCTGTATAAAACTAAATTATTTGCATACAGGATTACTTCGACGAATTTCTTTGGCCCTTTTATTTTATCAGAGAGGCTCGTCGGCAAGATGGAGAATAAGATGGATTTTTAAGTTGTCACCCTAAACCAAGCCAGTTGTGTATGTTAAAGGAGAAAGTCAGGCTTCGTCGTCAATGGTTATCCTGTTCTCGTGTAGAATCGCAACGAGAAGATCAAACATGTCCATAGAGACAGTTACCTTGACCAGCATGAGCACAGCCTTGATATTGAGCCGGAGGTCAAAGGCTACGTTGAAACCTATAAACATCACGTGCAGCAAACTGCGCGGCGTAACTAGTGTTCTCTTCACGTCGGTCATCAATATTGCACGCCATTTCTGCGGAGCGTTGCTCTTAAAGCCTCGGTTATTCCATCGGTATGGCATGTACGCTTTTTTAGTAGACGTTCAGTTTTTTAATAAACAGGCCAAAAAGCAGTTTACAACGGTTTTCTTCATAATTCCCCGCCATGGTGACGGTCATAATGGATCGCATTTCTCCCTAGAAACTGCTAATAAGGTAGCGTCTCTTCACTGCGCTAGGAGTGTACCAGCACCTAGACCGTTAAGGACCTGCTGTATCTTTTAATAGGCGTTATTCCTCAGCAGGACATGCATGGAGAGACATATAGAGTGACCACGAAATCATTATTCGTGGGAGTGTTTGGTACATTTATAATACTTTTCACTCTGTATGGCTGGATTACTGTTTGTTGTAAATTATCAGAATACTCCTGGAAACCAGATCTTTAGCACATAAAACCAAGTCAGATAAGTCGCATGTTTCGATTTTCAGAATACTAATTCTTATAAAAGTGGGATTTATCCATTGGACGAATAAAATGTATGTCTGCAGAGGCTCTATTTTTTTTTGTAGCTATTTATTTTGGATACGTAAGAAATAAGGACATATAGACATTTGTAAGTAAGGTTAAATAAAAGTTGTTTATCCTCAATGATAATTATGAAGCTGTGTCATTTATTTAAAAATCGAAAGAAATTATTACCCCTTATAGTTAATTCTTTTAGATTCTACATATATATCGAAGTGTTTTGCAACTAATGCTTAGTGTGTCTTGAGCTTTCGGGAAGTATTTCGATCTGTAAAGGTGAAATATTAGATAAAAAATTTGTCGAGTTTATGGGAGGCTTTTCCCTGTAAATATATGCAAGGGAACGGTTATTAGAAATGGAATTAGCGAAGTCAGCTGAAAAGGTGAATGTAGGACTGGGCACCGCGTTGTTCCACCATTGCATCGTGAACGGGATTTTTGTCTTGAACACAGACATATATGTTAGCCGAGGGGCAGCCAATCGAATTTTTATGTCGATTCATAATTGCGAAATTTCTCGCTGTTTAATTAATTTTTATATTATATATATATTTTTTTATTTAATTTAAATGATTAATAAAAGAGTCAATTAAAAACTGGATGTTTCTGTAAAGCTTGCAAGATTGTGGAATATGACGAAAAGTCAAAAATTCACCGAAAAATACATATTTAGGTTTTATAAAAAAAAAAACGTAATGTAATTTTCGTCTACTAGCTTTCCAACGGTAGTCCTATCTGAAGCTGCGATAAACCGCAGGTTCTTTTTTAGATGCAGAAACACGATCTATACACACAAATGCTGAGACATATGCTGTGCAGGCGTACTTAAATTTAGAACCAATAGTAGACCGAAAGTCCGAAAATCCGACGGTCCAAGAAAATCAAGAGCTCGAAAAGGTATCAAAAGTCTAAGAATTAACTGTCAGATTTATGTAGATGACTGAGTGGCAATATATATTCTATCTTTCAAAACCTCCCAAAACAGGCGCTAATTTCTGCATTGTAAGTCCGAGATTCCCGAGATCGTTTCATTCCGAGAAATTTTCGAATTTTCCCAGTCTAATCCCTGTTGTCGCCTGGCTTCTTGGAAATAATTTTCGGATTTTTATCGAGAACGTTAGATTGGCAGGAACTTACACTGCAGACTTTCCTCAGTGAAAAATTGTACGGATAAGAGACCTTGCACAATAACCTATTTTCTGAACGTGATCCTCCTGTCTGTGCCATAGTAAATTTGTAATTTTGTTGTAGAAAAAACTGATTCTATGAGTGCAGAGAATAGCAGATGAAAATGTGCTCCAATTCATCCCTAAGGATCTATACAACTATGTTTTTAAAAAGTTTTTCTTACTTCCCGAATACGTAAAAATAATATTGAGTGGTGTTTTGCACTTACAACATTCTAAGAATTTTAACGGACGTACTGTAAACCTCTAGGCGTGAACATACCCAAACTCAAAAAACTACCTTGATTCAAATGGCTATTGCAAATGCCTATTCCTCAAAGTATAGTAAACAAGCGTACGTGTATTTGGCTTATTTTTCTGGTTAAAGGCTACATCTGACAGATGGGGTTACGTCGTTTTCTGCCGTTTTGGGGGGCAAGTGCGGGCTCAGTGTACAGGATACGCCTCCAGGCACCAAGCTGCTGCTGAACCCACAGTCAGTGCCCGTCTGCAACGGATTCGTTCTTCTCTCTGAAAGGTAAATACCCATAGAATAATTGTTGTTTCTCGTCCCTCTTAATCGCCTTTGTTAACCGCAAGGTTGATGCGATAGTTTTGTTGTACATTAGCGTGATGAATCATTCTTTAACCAACTGGATACTGTTGTAGATGAAGGACAATTCTTCGGGCGACTCAGGTTTCATTTTTAAGAAACTAAGGAGTAAATCTCGTTTACGAAGACCGGGCTTCACATCTAGGAATTTCGTACGGAAGTGTGAAAGCTTAGTCAGCATTTCCTTTTAACCGCAGTAATCACTGAATACATACGTTCTTCTGTCCTTAAATTACATACGAAATTTTTTTAGAACCTTTAGCCCGTAAACACGAATCATTTTAAATATGTGATTTTTATTTCTAGTGTTTTGCGCTAAGCCTACTCATGAAGAATACTCAAATCCTTTTCATAGATTTCAAGATTATTCTATTCCACAATTTGTTCCCCGTTCCTACTCATCTGTTAATATACAGAGTGAGGCATTTAAACACAGGCTTTTTCTTCTGAGTTATTGCGACTGTATCCAAGGAAAACTTTTAACGATTTTTAGCATGTGTTAAAAACGTAATTCCTGACTGTCATATTTATTTAGCGTAACCACCATCTATTGGGACTGGAGGATCGACTTGGAATGTAAATTTTTCACAGATTTATTTTAAATATTCGCTTTGCCAATGTACGAATGTCTCTTGCATTGCACAAGTGAGCGTGTCGAAACTTGTAGAAGCCTTGCTCAATAACGCTCCATACATAGTAAACCAGTAAGCTCAAATCCGCGCTGTTCGGCGGCCATGCGCTGATCCCAGTATGCTTGTATTCTCAAACAGTCAACCCCTTACAAGTTGCCTACCATAAGCTGCGTCAAGTTTATTTACTAACACCGCGACTGAAACATAGAAAATGCATTTTTAAACAGTATTGATTAACTTTCGAGCCTGTACTGCTGTCTGTCGTAAATTTTTTGTTGTGCTATATTAAAACATGCTTATTATGCAGCTGCAAACATATTTGTGATGTCATGACTATACAATTTGGAGTAACCCAAAATGTTTTTTCTTGGTGGAAGTTCCTCCAACGTGAAGTAATAGCATGATAGCTGATCTTCGCTGAAATCCCGAAAATAAAGTACTGTTTTTCGCCATGACCACTTTGGTATTTCGTTACAAAGGAGACCGGCTTTCTTCTAACGCCAAAAATAGCAAGTGAACGCATTTCGACTACAATAAATAGCTCGCTAAAAGTTTGCCCGAACCTTAATGCCCAATTCTATGCATATATATATATATATAGTAAACGAGTGCCTTGCAACTTGTGGACCAATCCTTGTTAGCAGTGCCCAAATCATTTAGTCCAGTTCTTTAACAATAATATGTACCATATGTTCGCGGCGTATTAGGAAGTTTTAATAGGAGATACAGGTGTTTTCGCTTATTATCATTGCCATGAGATAAGAATTAGTCTTTACATACAATATTAGCACATCCTCATCTTGAGTATTTCAATCACGACTATGAACTTATTTAATTCAATAAGCCAACTTTTTTGCATATTCCTCGCGCGCTCTTATGTGGAGATGTTGTACAATGAATATCTTTAATGTATAAAAAAACACAAGCATTTTTGACAGCACGTAAGATCATTGACTGAAATCTCTACAGTACAATCTGAAGTAGCAATTAGCGTATGTTTCGTTTAAAACTATCATATTGCCTACGCTTCTGTTAGTGATAGACTTACATTTGTAGATATTGTCTTGCTTCACGTATGTTTGGTTTGACTTAAGCCTGAAATTCCGCAATTTCGATATTTTTGGCGGACTAAATGCAACATGATTTAACATGGCAAAATCTTTCTTTTGCCAAAGTGAAGGCTTATAAACCAGAGTCATACAAGGAATTTATTGGCCATTTTTGAGTTAAGTTCGTCATTTATATCCTCTTCTTCTTCGATACCCTAATTTGCAAGCTTGCGATGCTGATAGTTGAAACTAAATGTCGTAAATCCTTGATGTGCCGATGTCATTAACATATTATAAAATTATAGTTAATATAAAGTGGCTTACGTAATCCAGAAACATGGTTAAATGTATCCGGAGACTCAGGAAAGTAAAAATTACAATAAAATTATATCTGTAAAATGTTTATTAATTTTTGCATGGATATTTAAATGCTATTTGCCCAGTTTTCTCATAGTCTCATATCTAAATCAAACTAGCACACAACAAAGGTAAACAGGTGATGTTATGTGAACAGGTTGCCCGTTTCATTAATCAACCTCATCGACGCAGATGTGTTTGATTCTATTTCACTATAGGATTCAAAATCAATACGTTTTCTTTACATTAAAATGAGTCCTTTTAAAATGTTACGATTTCTATGCTTTACAGGGATTTTAAAATTTTGGGTGGTACCGTGCAGCACTTGGTGGATAAGTGGAAACTGGCAAAAGACCTATCGCAGCATAAACGAACATCGGGAGAAGCCGGGCCGCCGCCCTGGGTGCCCTTTGGGGGCCAAATAGATAAAGATCTTCTCAAGCAATTAAGAACGGGCGGGCCCTTCAAAGCTATGGACAGGGTTAGTTTATCAATTAATGGCAACCGATAAAATACATATACTGTACAAAAACTAAAAAAAAAACTGAGTAGAACAATACTTATGAGAAATCTCGAATACTATTAACATTTTTTTTATTTTAGATTTTTTTTATTTTTTTTTAATTTTATTTTTTTTTATATTTTTTTAGATTTAACATTGTATTTCTTTCCTAATTGTTGTCTCAATTACTCTTACAACTTAAACAAACGATTCTCGAACAAACATCGTGAAATATATACCCTTCACTACCATATTTAGGTGAATGCTTATATTAAGTAGTAGACTAAATATAACATTGCTAAATTTTTTAGGCCGGTGCATCAAAAGGAGCTCCAAATGAAGCATTTGAACGACATCGTACTTCTACGATCGAAGAGGCAACGACTCAAGGCGGAGGTAAACGCAAGGTCTTCGGTGGAGGCGCTCGTGAAATGCACGATAACGATATAGCAATTATATGTGAGCGGGGCTACTCGACTGAAACAGCTAGCTCCGCTTTGAGAAACAACAATTACAACGTTGCTGCTGCGCTGAAGGTGAGCATTTATTAACTACGATCCCCTGGTGACAATCGGCGTGTAAATAAGGTAGCTTGAACCCATCCACATTCAGATTATTTCAGTCTACATCTACACAAACCACAATATTATCGATTTTAGTTTTTTATTTGCAGTTCGCTCCGACGTGGCGGTTAAGGAAATCCTTGTACTTGTGCTTTGCCTCATATCTTAATCTAGCGATGCCTATTCAATCTATATTATAATTAGTTTCGCCTCGTTGCCGAGATTTTGCAATGCGTGTTTATAATGGCATTGTCAATATAAGCGCAGTCATAGACAAAGCCAATAAGATCAAAGAAGAGGTCACACCACGCTCCGTGCCATGAACTGTGAACCTTTCAAATGATTATTTATAGTAAAAGGCTTTAGTTTTGAAAAATATTGACGGTGTTCCATACGCAGTCCCTTTTTTATCTTCGGACAGATTCCACTTTTGCAATAATTTGTCGCCTCTAATAATTTTACAAATATTTTTTATTTTACCACGTATCGCAAGTATTTTTTGTTCATCAAAATTCTTACTAATTTGGCTCGATCGCCGGCGAGAAGCGACGCCATGAACGACAGTACAAGGTGTAATACGGCATTTTTCTGGAAATAAAAGAACTTTAAACTGGGGGTGACAATTTTTAAACTGGGGGTGACAATTTTCCCAAAACTCGTGCTTGCATTCTTCATATTTGCCTCACCATGCACAGTTTAGTGAGATTGCCATTAGATGTAATAGTGTACAACCTAAGTTCGGGAAACTGATGTGCGTTGTATTTTCAGTCATTGTCCCTTCGGGGTGAACGAGGCAATCGAGACAGGCCACCCCGTGGGGGTATAGATGGAGGACGAGAGGGCAACCGATTGATGGAGGGCACTCGGGACGACAGTGGAGACCATCGGGGAGACCACGGCATGAAAGGAATACGGAAAGGGCTTCGTGGACGCGAGGACCGCGACACGGCGGGAGGTCCAAAAAGCGGCGGCGGCAGCATCAATTCGAGTGGCTCCGAGCCGTTAATTAGCTGTAAGGCGCAGTCATCTGCTCCTACTACATTGTTCGACATGATCTCAACGCAAGTCAATTTACCCGAACAACAGCAGCAGCTGCACACACAAATACGCGCTCGTGGTGGTGACGATAATCGTACGCCGCACAATAGCTCACATCAACAGCATGGGCACAACGGATTTGCACCATTTAGTGACCAATATTCAAACTATGAAAATAATGGGGCACAGCGCGGAAATCGTACCTGGTTTCAGGGGAACACCGGGGTAACCAACTTACATTCTAGCGCACAAGGCAATTTCCGTGGACAAGATGGACCCAGGGGAGGAATAGGCAACAGGGGTGAAAGACAGTCGCTCAGTCGAGGCACGGCGAGAGAAGACCTAAATCGCCGCTTTTCTGAGCGCTCTTACGATCATCGCAATCGAGATAGTCGCGAAAGCCAAGGTTATCGAGACGGAACGTACCGTCGTTCCGGTCACGACAATACTGTTGCCTCTAGTAATCGGGGGACACAACGTGGACAGCAGCGTACTGATAATAATTATGTAGCCGAATTTCCGACATTACCAAACCAGTCAGGTTCGAATTTATCTCGTCTTGCCGAAGGGCAAGAAGTCGGACGAGCTTCACCAATAGCGACGACGACAACGGTAGACAATCAAGGACCCCAAACACGAAACGTGTCAGGAAGTCACGGTTCTAGCGGAAGTGGCCCTTATCAGGCAGACCGGAATGCTACTACAGCTACTGGAGGCCCTCTCCGTTCAGTGCGAAACTGCGGCGGTGGAACCGCTGTCCAATATCATCACAGCACTCATAAGTTGAAAACGGGACAACGCGTGTACGCAAAATATTGGGAAGATGAGAGCATGTACCGAGCTGTCGTGCACGAAATGGCTGCAAGCGGACGAACGTGCGTGGTGTATTTTGTCGAGTATGGCAACTATGAGGAGGTGAGTTCTTTTTTTCTTTACTCAAGTCATCATCACAATACGAAATGGAGTGGTTATGTATATGCTCGCTAAACTTAGAGGCATGTAACATGGTTCAGGTTCGAAACAAAGCTTAAACAAAACTTAATTTTGTAATGGGACTGAGCCGTCTAAATCAATGTTTAACGGCGGAACAAGAAAAATTCGAAATATTTGTAAATACAATTTTAAAAAAGTTGGCGTACATAAGACGTTCAAAGCTTATCCAGAATAGTTTATATGACGTTTGCTACTATATTACAGATATTTAGTGCCATCTAAAGTAATATTTGACAAATGTTATGGGTTATTTTTAGGTATTGGTACAAGATATTGAACCTACATTCTGGGAGGAAGAAAGAGATTCTAGTTCTCAGCAACTGGATCAACGCGGAGGCCCTGGCGGAGGAACGTACAGCACAGGAACAGGAAATGCAAAAGATCGCAACAAGACTACTGCGACTAGTTTTCGGGATGGTGGGGGTCACAGGGATTATCGTGGGGGTTATAGCGGCAGCGGTAGCAACCGTAGAACAGGTGGTGGCCATCGAGGCGGCTATCGAGGAGGAGGCGCCTACAGGGCTGTGCCTAGAAGACAGCAGATGCACTAATGATATGTCAGACGTCATGTATCTTAGCTATGTTCATTGCTATCACGCAGTGCACCCACCACCTTGATTTTAATCGCTATACGGAAAAGGCATGCCAGTAGTTTCGTCGAGGACACTAATAGCAGGCCATTCCATTAACCGGTGAAACATGAATAGCGTAGTCATACATAGTTGGCGTGACAAATAGTTTCACTCACAAAGAAAAGACACAACCTGCTCCGCTCTGATCTAGCGAACTGTTTTACGGAACGGTCACATCGAAAATACTTACACACCTGCCAGGCGTTAAATGAGGAGGCATCCTTTAACAAAATTTGATGTCTCAAATATGGACCTTGGATACACGTACTCGAGATGGTCTGTCTCAGGAAAACACCTGCATAAAAAATATTCTTGTTTTTGAAAGAACCATTGCAGTTAAAATTGGCATCGCCAAAGGAATGTTTGTAGCTTTTCAGATGGATTCTTTCGAGTTTGTCTTCCAAATAAGTCCCAATACGAATATACCTCTATGCCAAACTTTTGAATATAATAAAAATAACGAAACAAGTGAGCAGATAAAAACGTTGCTTCTATTTGTTGGCCTCATTTCGGTTTTTTAGATTCGAAATTACTTAGAACAGTTTCAGAATAACTTCTGAAATGCCGATTTAAATTAACGCGGCTTAGTTAACGGTTTTTGGGATAAGGTTTCTTGTAATCGTTTTCAAAAACTACACAATTTGAAACATATCCAGAGATTGTACGTAGATTATTAATTGAAGCTGGCGCAGCTTTTTGCTAAATTAAGTAAATCACCATAATTGACCGTACCGACGAAAATAGCGAAATCAAGCCCCGCAAGCGGTGTCGCCTCTTTGTTGGAACATTACATCCTTTGGCTGTTTCATTATCAGAACTCTTCTTCCAGTTGTTATTACTTCATATGGGAGACAAGCCCAGCACAATATTAAAAAATCGAAATGAGAGCGAGGATTGTTTTTGGTTCCAGCTTGTACCTGCGGCCTATTTGGCCGTCCAAATGCACACATAACAAATTATGAAAGAACGAAAGTTTAAGCTCCTCTACTCAATGTATTAGAAGTAGCCTGGCGGCTCAATTTAAGGCAACATTACCAGGCAAAATATGTCGATCCGCCAGTCTTTATATAAACACACAATTATGTGCGTGGTATAGTACTAGTGGTTATCCAGATGTAGTCCTCTGGATGAAGTGTAAGTGCAAAGGATGAGACTAAAGAAAAAACCGAATGACTTGATTGTGAAAGGAGAGAATAACTGAAAACTTATTTTCCAGTTGCTTTAAATAGGTCTTAGGGATAAAGCGTAAGCAAAAAATAGCAACTAACATTTATTTATCAGGTTATTCAGCATTTTTGCTTATTTAGCTTACTTAGCAAACTCGTGTTTGCTGCATCGTTTGTTCACATTGCATACTAAGGATTATACCATTTTTGCAGTGATATCAATAAATAAAACTATTTGTTCACCTAACGAGGAGTTGCGTTTCACTTATGAGAGTGGCATCCTAGAATAAGGATCTGTATAGTTATAGACTACGTATTTTTAATGAGCTTCGAATTTTTCAGTGGCAGCTGATCATAAACGCAATGACAGGAAAGAAAGCCTCCCCGTACCTTTAAAGGCTGCTCATATTTTATCTTGCTAACAGGATCGTCATTCACATATCAAAGGAATTTACCATAACTGCATTGCTGGCTCAAGTGACTCGATCTCAGCCATGGAATATGGTCTATGATTGTGTTTGGAGTTTTTCAGACGCGGGCGAGGGCAAACGACTGCACATGCGAATGGCATAGAGTGTGTAGTCATAAAAAGTTTACAAAGTGTACCAAAATATTAGACCAAAGCGTAAAATTGCTTTAGAAAAAATAATCGAATAAAGGGGGGCAAACGGCCGCAACTGGTGTTGAATACAAGTCGGATGATATGGCTAATCAAAAACAAAACTCATAGGCCCATCTTGTTCTCATTTAATGAAGTAGAAATACAGATCAATGAGTTCATCTGCCGTCTAAGCGTTATGGTAAAAAAAGATATGGTATGGGAAGGCCCCAAATCAATCAAGTAGCTTAAAAAGTAGCGAAGCTGAAAAAAATTGCCTGCAAAGGTCCTGCCAAGAGCATAAAAGGTTGCGTAGGGAAGACAGAGGCTCTTACTGACGATATGTGATTAATGCAGAGACCGCCTGATGAGACTAAAGAAAAACAAAGCGAATTTCTTGACCCTAAAAAGGCTCCTGTCGATAAGAACCGCCATTCCATATGATACCTTGGAGACGTATGCCGTAAGCGCCCTGACAGAGCTCATATATATCAAATAAAACCAAGTAGAACAACAGACCAGCACAAGGACTAAATAATAAAGACATATAATAATTTCATTTGTTAACCAATGTTGCATGTGCCTAACTAAATTAAATCCGGAGAATTTCTGACTCTAAGTCCTCGAAGCTACCGGCTGCGCCAACCCCTAAAAACAAAGACAAAGAACGATGAGAGAATAGAAGCAAGTACCTTACCAGAATACTTCTGGAAAGGTAGAGTTCCTGAGCCCTTACCTCGAATAGCCTGATGGAAGTTGTTCCTAAGTTACCATGTGGTACTTGACACATGTCTTGAGTGAGATTGGAAGTACCTGCGCACAACAGACAAGACTGAGAGCGTCACATGAGTTATATGTGATACAGCCGTAGCCGACCATACGTCATAGATTATCTTCCAGAACTCAAAGAAAGACTTAACACTTTAAGGATGACGTACAAATCAATGGCGAAACTGATCATACGATCCAGAGCAAAAATATATAGGCGCAAGCGAAGATCGATGATTAATCAGCTGTGGAACGAGAAAACATTGAAAGAGGAAGATGGTCCGGGATTTCGATCGATTTAACGAAAAGGAAAACAATCGCTAACGGTCTCAAAGTAATTGAACATGAATTGAATAACTCACAGCTCACAATGACATTCTTTCTGGCCTATCGAGTAACTCTGTGTACTTTGGGTGAGAATGGAAAGAGAGATTCGAGGGAAATATCTATCTGGCCCATGAAGCCTGGAATTAATTCGAAAGATATTTACACTTAGTTATTTATAAAAATGTATTACTACTACTATTATTTAATGTATGATTATGAGTTTGTAGATGTTGCGCAAAAAACAGTGAGAAACTGCTAGTAATAGTAGGTGTCTGAACTGTCCCGCTGCTGCTTAATAACTTTTGAAAATGCTTTGTATCTTTTCCTAAATGGTTGGTATTGAGATTGGATTCAACTTTTCTGCGTAGTGTAGACATTGGAGCTGCCCAGTAAACCTTACACAGCTCCTTCTTGTAGTAGGTATTTTCTTTGAGGTCAGAATCGCTATGCTTCTCCTATCTGGTGCCAACATACTTGGCTTAGGTATTTCTGCCCTATGCAGTGCCCTCCAAAAAGAGCATCTGCAAATACCTCCTCCATAATACCGGGCAGAACAACTTTAAAAAATATCGACCGATATAAGTGGCACAGACGACGTCGTGTTCGGTTGAGCTATATGTTCGATTCTAGCAAAAATCATGCATCGAAGACGATACATAGCTATCATATAGAAGCGTTGGCTACCTGCCGTGTTTTTTTTTTGCTAAATCGTGATTGTCGGTGGGGCCGATCGTTTTTAAACTAAGACTAAACTAACGTATCAAGAGGATTGTTATTACAAAGCGGTAGCCAATCATAACTAGTCAAATAATAATTGCTTCCAATACACAATTATTGTAATGTAACTTACAAACACGATAATAAGGAGACCACACACATTCATATAGCTTCTGGTAAGCAGCAGGGGATTCAAAGAAAACACCAATAACCGACAATATCTTTATGAGCATGTACGAGTCACAAATTCGAACCTCTGACTGAGGATCAGTGAGGCAAAGAAGTTGACTCAAAAATCTTTAAAGATATTTATCTTGTACAAAGTCGTGTTCCTCAAGCGAAAACTTTGTCTGCAATCACGCCATTTTTATGAACCAAAAGTAGCCGGTAAACCAATGCAATGTATCGAGAGCATGGTGCAAAGTCTGCATAATTTTCATTGCATTTAATAAGCAGTATTAGCTTCATATGATGGGCAGAAACATTGCGGTTGACCGGCTGTCTAGGATGATTTGCACAAAGTCAATAAAGAGAAGAAACAATACTACCTAAAACAGTCTTTGAGGGCACCCGGCGTATGCATAGTCAGCCTGGGTAACGAGCCATTGCGAAGAAACAGAGATTAACGATACCGATAAGGGGTAACACAGACAGAATCGCTTCAGAACGTGGCATCGTTTAGAAACACTTGAAATCCGTGTAGGACATCAACTAAAATCTTCTTGCTGACAGTTGAAGCGGTTCTTCTAAGAAGCGGCCTCTAAAATACGCGAATTGATGTGTAAGACGACGAAACAATACGAAATCATGCGGTTCATAATTTTACAATTGAGGCAGTCAAGTCACTTAAGTCTCTTTTTACCACTCTTATGTGTTGATACGAGCCATGGCGATCGACACAGCGTGCGGGCTTACCCTTTCCTGAGAACGAGAGAAATGATGTAATATGAATATGACGTTCTTAATGAAGAATTTGTTGAAACTTGCTAATTGTCAAGGTATATACCGTTAAAGGGATCTTTCCTTGGCTTATAAGATTGTATTCGTCGTTTTGGTTTGATCACCAGATTCGTTTTGAGTTCAAACTCTACCCGCGAATGACAAAAATACCATGTGACAGTGTCGGAAAAACGTGAGTGGTAACTACGTTTAACAATCATTAAGAAAAGCAGGAAAATTAATAGGGCAAATTGAAAAGTAAAATGTGAACGCGATTTATGTTATTGTAGTGACGTCACGGTACGATCCGGAAGATTGAACGAAAAGCTTATGCATGTGCACAGAGAATATGTAACGTGTCGGAAATCAATTGCGGCAAGGGCTGCATAGCCCTCAAACTAAATAAGCAGGAACGATGGTAATCATGCTATAACACAAACGATAATGGCGAAAGGGTGAACAGAGTAACAAACGATTATTACTAACTCACTGAACTGAATAAATATAACCAGATGCTGCCGCCTCTACTAATTTCTCCTGTCCAATGATTGGCATACAATTACTGCCTTACAGAGGACGACCTGTGACGCCACAAATATATAATAAAACAGTATTTGATTGACCAAGTATGTAGTCGTATGATGTTTTTTGACTGTATGTGCATATTATTTTTGCTTCGACGCTAACTTTTTCATTTTTTCAAGTTTTCATATGCAACTCATTAAAACAACTCACACATCTACTGAAACAACGTAAAGAACAAAAAATAAAGTATCTTTTCAAATATATAGTAACTCGTATCCCGTGGCGGTAAACGCTGCAACTTTATCGCAAAAATATATTACGCTGTCGGAATACGTATAAAAAATAATTTAATGAAAAGCACCATGATGAACATTACGTACTTCGAAAATTTAAATAAATAAGTACTTCAAATTTCTCTGGCACGGAGTATAATCAAAATAACAAGAACTGAGCAATTAACTTCAGGTGTGACAGCCGTGAAACTTAGACGATGTTCGTGAAACATCGTTTGATTTATAGTCTCAGCTTGAATAGTCTCAGCTTTCCCTGTGAACATTTATCATCAATTCGTCCTAGTAATAAGTGCATAAGTAATAAGTGAATAATAAAATTAGTAAAATGAAATTCTTAATGAAATCATTATTTTTAGCCTAAAAAATACATGTTACGCTCGTTCTTTTGCGCACAATTCAGTTAGTATGCTAATTATCATATGAATACTAGATCAACTTTTCCTCACATTAAAAGATCTAACGATCGATTAGTCCATGCTGCAGTTTGTTATATCTCATCTCCACCAGAGATTTGTATATATAAACCGATGAAGTATATAAATTCTTAAAAAATTATTATTTTTTCGCTATTATTTTTATTCGCTAACAAGCCCTGAATTACTGTGACTGATGTATGGCTGGGGCGATAGGGCCTAGGTTGCTGTACGTCTAATTCTATCGTGCAGTTGCACGTACTCTGAAACCCTGTTGCAGTAATTACCTTAATTCGTGTTGAGCATTACTGTTTTCATCACCATTGGTGTCCTCTGTATATAGTATAGAAGTTCTGATATTTCGCTGTAGAAGCGCGAAGTAACCCACTTAATAGTTTAAATGAAGCACCGTGTTTACTAGCTTATATACTAAGTTATAGTGTTGTCAATTCAAATAATTCGTTTTTGGCTTATATTATGATGGCAAGTCTGTTTTTTTACTTTTCAATAATATGATTACAGTATCATGTAAAAAAAAAATTATGCGTTTTTTTCAACAGACGGTTTAGTTACCTAGAATAGATAGTTATCAGTTGAGAACTGCTTAACAACACAGCTTGGGATATATTTGCTTGGAACACTGAAACAAAACAAAGTTGCTTTGTGATCGGTACAAAATTATTGTTGATTAATGTAGCATTACCGTAAGAGTATAATCACTCTCACTTTTCGGCCTTTTAGGTAAGATATATATATCTATAAAAGTATTTACAAGATGGTCATTGTCTATTAGGATTCGCTTATCGAATTGGTTCACTTAGACCAATTTCGTTAGAGTATCGTAAAAATTAGCACGCTAACTTCTACAATCGTTTGTATTCTTAACTGCCTTAAGCTCTGATTGTGTGTACACACGAACACAGGCGGGAAGATGTTTCTCACAACAGAAAAAAACAACGATGTGCAAAGAACAAACGCTTACAAGCTGTCCATGTTTATTGATGTTCACGGATAACAACTGTGTAATTGCTTAAACTGTTGTAATAACTTATTGCCAAAGACTAAGTATAGGCTGTCCTCTATAGGAAAACGCTGTCTGTGGAGTTCCCTAAAGGAATCAAGTGCCCGCGTAGATGCCCAATCGCGGAGAATTATGTACGTTAGAGACAAGCAATACAAAATCGCAGTGTTCATGTGCATATAGGATGGGTGCTACCAATGATTCAGTTACATCTCCCCACCTCGTTATATGAGTAGCTATACCGTTCGAATGAAGCGCCATCTGAACAACATATGCGTAGCAGACATCGCTGCAGATAACCCGGAAAATTCAGGCGCTAGGCTAAGGGAGGATATTGTACTACATGATATTGGTCGATGTTTGTTTCACTTGGTCTGTCTATTATGTTCTAATATGGCTAGAAACCAAAACAAGCTAACCAAAACTCAGTACATTAAGAACTAAACAACTTCTTAAGTTATGCAACCTTTTGAAACTCGACTGAGCTATGAGACACAATATTTATTCTACTAAGTCTAAAGAAGGTGGCCGAGGAGCCTCGGAGTGTAAGCTTTCAAGGTCTGCTTGCACCTAATGATACATAGAGCAGTCAATTTATGGTGCGTATCGATCGAATACTGCTCATGTTCGATTTGAAATTGGCGCGGCAGCAAATTCCCTAGGAGAATTAGTCCCCACCACCAAGCTTCCAGTAAGGGTTAGTCCATTAGTGTTGTGTAACTGCAAAGATGGCGACCTCCGCTTGTCGGGGAAGGGGAACCGCAGTACTTGAGTTCCATCTCTAAAACGGTCTTTTATTTGTACGTTGTTTTAGTTGGTTCTTGGCAATAATAAATCAATATACCGCCGAGTGATCAAATGAGTGCCTTTGTGTAACGCTATGGGGCCATGGGTTCTATGCTAACAAGTAACAATACTAATAACAATAATAAACAAGACTAAGACGGGGCGGGCTAGCCTTGTAGCCGACTCAGAATGTGGCAGTGTTGATAGTGCAGCTGTGGAAAGCGCCGTGGACCATCGAAGTGATCCCAGAGTAGATCACTGCACTCAGGCAAGTCCTGAAAGCACAGTCTGTTGAGATTGTTGGACGTTTTTGTGCTCTTCTTATATAGCCTCAGTGCCCAGTCGGACACCCACTTTTCAGCGGTAGGAGCCTACACGAAGTACCCGTGAGGTTCACATTAACTTCCTAAACAAGTGTAACCGCAGTGTCCGTGCATCATGTCTTCAAAGACTCCGGGAAGTAAACAGGCCGCGGGTTCTGCACGCATGAGCCTTCGGCGCAAAAGTGTCGGCAATGGGAATTCTACTAAAAAACCTGCTATTAGATGCGTATTAGTGTCCGTATCAGGTATGAGTGCATCAGCATTATCAAACGAAATCATTTGTATGATATTTTGTAGCAGTTTAGTTCTATACCAGTTAATTTGTCTATTTTTTCTGTACAGGTTAGTTGTCATATGTTTATTTTTATATTCATTTTTTTTGGTTTCAGTAGACATAGAACACATTTAAGCATCCTTGAAAACAAAAAAAAAAGCTTTAAATTATTTTATTTTTTTAGAACACTGAACAAAGCACATTTACAAATTTATGAGAATATTAAGATGACTCTTGTGATCTGCAATAAATTTGAGATATCAACGATAGGTTTACGGTCAAGTTTCGCACGATTTTCAATATGTTATTATGCTAATAACTCGTTCAAAATTTAGGTTTATCCTGCACTACAAGGTTGAATAAATATAATAAGGTTACTATTTTAAAAATTGTCAAACTATTTCTGCCATTTTCTTACGCCGGGTGATGGGTGAACCTTTGTGTTTAGAGAGTGTTATATTTCGTCTTTAGAGCTCATTTGTAATTCTGATTCCATTTACTATAATTATTAATGTTTCTGGCCTTTCTGTGTATGTAGTGAGTCGAATGTGTGGCCACTTGTAATTGCTCTTAATGAAATGATAAAATTTAGCAAATTCTCGTCACCTATACTCCAAGTTAGCAAATAAACTATTTGTACAATATCATTATTTCAAATCACTTCGTGACTTTTGCTGTCCTCTTAGAACCACATGAGACCCAAAAGAATATATCACCACATACTAATTGATACCGACTTATTCACCCAAGAAACTGAATCACTCAGTCCAAGATCTTGTTAGCTTCCGCCGGGATCATTGAATTTAAATATATGGGTGATAGAAATAATATTGCCGGTCTTAAAACTAAAATTAAAGTAAGTGTTTTTTTACTCTTGAAACAACATTGCTGAACTATATATTCGCTATTTTGATCAATGACCTTCTTCCATTTTCGTAGTAACACTTTAATTCCTGTAAAATTTCTGTGATTTCTGGGCGAAAAATTGTGACGAGAAATTTTTAACCCCTTCTATTGTAACTATATTAACGCTATTAAAGGGGTGTTACAGAGACAGAAACAGATAATATTCTGACAATACAAGATCCGTGCTATATATATAATAAACATGACCGTCTAAATTCTCTCTAGTTTTGCCGAATAGCTAAATATGTATGTGGTAAAGTTTAAGCGGACGTTTGCAGAAATTTTACTCACCTGTCTGAATACCGGCGTTCCAACATCTCGAATCTCGACTTTCAAGTGACGCCAGCACGACTCATATTACCTAAGATTTGTGAAAGCCATCTGGCTAGAAAAATCGTCAGTATTTTTTGGACTACTTTATATTTTGCTGAGTTCTAGCACATAGAGTTCACACAGTTCACCCGTTCTAGCACACAGAGAATAGAGGGTAACAGCGCGCGTTTCATAGGTGCAAACCTTGGGCGTATTTAGGTGATCTTAGAGAACGAAATTGTTACCGAATTACCTGCAACGTTAATGATCACACTTAATTTTATGTGGTTTGAAAATTTTAGATATTATAATTATTTTATTTCGGATGCCGCTTTTTGCAGCAAAACCGAACCGATATTAAAGGTATTTTTTGTTTAAGTTAGGTGATGATTTCTATGACTAACATCTGGCTCGACTGTACTCTGAAAACGGAAAAACCTTTTTGGTATTATAATTCTAAAGGCTATAATGCTAGATAGCTAGTCAAAGAATCTTTTTTTTTCTATCTTTCTCCATATAGAATAAGGAGTTTTCAACCTGCCAGACACGTCTGCTTTTGAGCCATTCTTTTTTATTAATTCTATTAACAGTTAATAGAATTAATTTAATCTTTTTTTTATCAAGAATTTGTCTTTAATAGTGAGAAAGAATAAACGGTTCTTTACAGTCTCTTATTTCGGGCTGTAAAAATAAATTTATTACTTGGAGGCCATGTTTGCAGGATCCTTCGTCGTGTATAGCGCTTATATATTTTTTTTTCTATTACTGCTAATAACCTGTCTGATTTAGTTAGCACTTTTCCTGTTATCATCCAGAGCGACCTTGATTTTATTGAGAAGAGGCAGTGTTTTGCTTTAGTCGAAGAGTTACTTACTACCTTTTTATATTTAATATCTAGCTTTTGAAAATTCTTCTGCAAAAGCTGTTTTACATACAAAATAGGCTTGCGCACAACTATTATAAATTCAGCTTCATTTTTAATATTATAAAGTCCAGTCAACAAATATTTCCTACCGCTCTCATACTCAAGATCTAGGTCGCAATCTTGGAATTTAAAAGGTCTTATAGGCTTTGTAGGTATAGTAAATTATCGAGAAACGTAGTGCCACAATGCCGTTGTATACTTTGTTTGTACCTTCAATTCAGCGTTTAATTACGTATATACTTTACGCAGTGTCTGTTGGGAGAGACAGAAACGAGGGAACCATTAAAGTAAAGAAAGCCGGGTAAGACAGAAAAGAGGAACAAGTGTCCTATATTATGTAATACTGCAAAACCATATGAAGGCATCATAAAGGAAGCGAGGGCCAAATCTGGCAGAATTTACGTTACCTTCTGAAGTCATATATTTCGTTAGGATTTAATAGTTGTGTATTTTTTCATTTAGTTTAAAGCATCGATTATATGTATATAAATTTTATATTATTACCGCTTACTTATGATAATTTCACCAGTTTAAAAGCATAGGCAACTCATTTTAAAGAATTTTTCTCTAAATTTCTAAGTTTCTTAACAATTCATATCAAACGCACCCTATACAATTGGTCTAAATTTGAATTTTTAAGCTGTTAAAAAGCTTTTGTTCCAAAGCAAAATAAAATTTCCAGACAGCGAGTTGTGAACTAAATGGCTGTTCTCAAGCTTGAGAATAGATACACTATCTTATGCGACATTAATTTCGATCTACGTTTATCCCCAGATTGTAGGCTATTCCATTAAGCCTCCTTGTAAAGATTTCTTCTGACCGGAAGATGTTTTGTGGTATGACGTTACTCTTATCACTTCATATCACACGAAAGCATGAGCACCACAAGAGAATTTAGTTCTAACTATAACGAAATGACAGGCCGTTCTGTCAACAATAGAGTTTGTTGAAGAACCGGAACCCACTGTATGCTTGATGCCTACAATCACTTAGAAAATTGGGCGGCGAAAAGGTTCCTGGTCTTGACGCCTTCAAAGGGCATTGGTGTAACTCTAACGATAAAAGACATATACCAGAGATTCTTGTCAGTTAAAAAGCCAGTTAAATTTTTAAAAGCTAGTAAACGTCAGTTAAAATTTTTTGATAAGTTTTTAAACTTTTATAACTGATTTTTCGTCGTATCTCGCGTTGGCCTACGGGGATTTTCCAATTCTTCAGAGACCGCATGCGAGCTCACAGTCGCACAAACTATCGAGCAGCCGAGAATATGAATCATCTAGTGCATGCTATTTATGGCACGATGACTTTTTAAAATTATTCTAGTTTGAGCTCTCTTTGGAAAGCGATATTTTAGACTTAGTTATAGCGATGCTATTATTTCATTGTCTACAAAAATAGGCTCTCTCTAGCATTAATTAGCTGTTGGCTAACACAATTCTTTAGAATAGGAATTTTAATTCAAAAACTAGTGGAATTTACTTGAGGGATCTTGTAACGTCGCGTAGATAATTTGGTTTTAGAAACCCAATGTTTTCTTAGTAAATTTAATTGATTTAAATTGGAGGTACGAAAAGTTATATGAAACACACTCATTTTAAAACATCTTGTTTATTTAATTGTTAATATGCCTGTTATGTAACGTTTGGTTATTGTATTATCGAGTAAAACAACACTATTTTATATACCTGAATTTAATACGATTTTATATATTTGATAATGCTTATATTTCATATTGTTCGCAACATCTATTACATATTTAAGTAGTCTCAATCATTTCTTAATTCGAAGTTCTCTTTGTTTACTATTTTAAAAAGAAGACCATAAAGGCTCCAATATAGCGGGACATTAAGTGATATCTTAGTTTTTTACTTCATTATTACAATTACAAAGTTAGTTCCCATATTCTTCAACTTTTAACTACATAGGTGACGTTATATAATTTTGTAAAATTTGCTAAGTGTTTTACTACTTACGCTCTTAGCTATTTGTATTCTAGTTTCCCATAGAGGTCTACTCCCTTCTGGTACTAGATAGCTGCTCTCTCCTTAACTTTATTGAATAACTGGCGGTTCAGAAAAATCAATGCATTCTGTGAACTCTCGATGCCTCGTACGTAACTACAGTATTTCTAAATTTCTAAAATGTTTGAATCTACCCCCAAAATAATAATTTTGATCCGTTCAGTTAAGCTTTTTATGTTTAGCTATGCAGAACTCTCTAAATACTGTACTCATGCAAAGATTCTGATTTTTACTTTTGCTCGTAAGATCCGTGCGCATTCTTATTTAAAAATTCAGAGTGAAACGGATTATTTTATGACCTCAGGGCTGCCCGGCAATCGATTTTTGCATATTATTAAGTACTAAAGAAGAGCGGCTTGCCGGTGCCTTTATGGCTTCTAGCAAAGCGTTGGATATAAGAACCCGCACTGCTACAACTATCAGTTGAAATACATTTAAAAGAATTCGTATACCTAAATGGGGTACCTTAGAACCTGGGAGGCCAACCCGAGCAGTTGACCAATTTCTTATTTCAGCCTATATTGAAATAGATATTATATATATATGAAAAAACAAATTGTCTTTATTATATAATCGGCAGCCGACATCATTTTTATTGGGGGGCTTCTCTGTTTAGTTATCTGGTTGGAAACGTATTTTCCGCTGCATCCTATTCATATTAAGTAAAATCTGCAGATGTTGGCTTCTTTTACACCTAAAAAGTGCATCCAAACTTAAGGTATTCAAAAATTTTCACAGATGTCTGGTTTATGCATATCCATCTTACATTTATCTCATGAGTTGTTGGCAGTTCGTTGGAAATCAGAG